AACATTACCTTTGTTTATTTAGTCTGTCTTTTTCTCCTCTTCCGGTACCTCATTAGCTCTGTTAGTTATGCCTCTGCCTGTCACTGTAGGCTGTGTGCGTCACCAGCGAGTCACCCACCTGAGCCTCTCTCTGATACATCATTCATTCAGCAGAAGTCAGAGAGATCAGATGTGATGAATTGGTCTGGTACCCTGCTAAAACCATAAACAGCATTGCACTGTAGTTAAATTACACTTGTCACTTGGTATCCAATGGAGATTGTACCCAAAGCCCTCAGCAGATACCTAAATCTCAACATGCTGTAACTGCCTACAAAATGGTATAGTATTTATATAAAACTCCCACTTATCTATCTATCTATCTATCTATCTATCTATCTATCTATCTATCTATCTATCTATCTATAGATTCCTTATAATGCTTACTACAATATAAATTCTAAGTAAGTAGTTGTCATGCCACAGTGTTTAGGGGATGATAACAGGGAAATGGTGCACATATGCGATGAAGGTAGGATGGTTTTTTAAGAACATGTTTAGTCTGTGGTTGTTGGTTGAGTCCATGGATATAGGGCACACAGCCCCAGGTAGCCAACTGTAGTGGCAAATACAGTTTTTCTAGGCTGCAAGCTTCTTCATGATCCATCCAAGGGCATCTCAGCAAATTTCAGCTTCACTACATTCTTCTATCCCCGAAAATGACAGCTATAGGTCCACACAAGGCGGCTCTGCTTGGTAGACTTTGCTTCTGAGGAGGTCTACGTGGTCATCCAATGACCTGGACCTTCAGGGACAAGCTAAGAAAGACCCATGGAAGAAAGTCGATGCTCCTCCTTTCTGTAAACAGTAGCCTTTCTTCTGATGTTCGGGCTCCACACAGCACCTGTGTATTGTTTCCCCCACCCTGTTCAAAGGAACACTAAAGCTCTCACAGATTTGAAGAAGCAAGGGCTTTCTTTTCTCGTCTTCATTTGTACCTTGAGCCACAGGTTTGCTGCTGTGCATTGTCCCCACTCAGGGGAGGAGGCAGGTACCCCTTTACCTAGAATGCAACTGATTGTCACACAAGGGAAAGGAACATGGTGGTCTTACACAGGCATATGGAATTCTGCTCTAAGTGACTCACACCATATTTCATCATCTTACGTTAGCTAAGGCAGTTAACATAGACATGTCTCCCCTTGGAGAGGTAGGATTGTGCCTCCCACTTGGATATGCACACTGGTGACCACTCACCCTCTCCAGTTTGTAAGATGCATGCAGGGATGACAAATTCTGCCTAATTTGCACAGTGTATGTATGTAACAAAGTATGTTTCTCAAGTACCCGACCCTGCTAAAGTAGAGTTAATACCTGCTTATAAGATGGACTTAAATGATTAAATTTAAGAATGATAAATTAGATTTAAGTGAATCAATACCTAGTCCATATTTACCATGTCTACTATAAGAACTCAAAAAATGCTAGACATGATGATGATGATCATGGTGATGATATTTTAGAACACAGGCAGATGTGTATGAGCCTTCACAGAAGTCTTTATTAATCAGTGTTTAATCTAGATGAGGCTGTTCTGGAGTAGGGTTCTGCCCAGATTTTAATTAATTGGACCTTTGGTGGATAGCTGCATGTTCTCAATGAGTAAAAACAAAGGAGACCATTAATTTTTGCCAGCACACACACAAAAATATATGCTTTATTGTTACTTCTTGAAATCTAGAAATGTTGTGCATGTATTTTTTTTTTGTATTATTCATTTTATTTGTAAGCTTAAACACTTACTCCCAGAGGGCCAGTGCAAGCACATTGCGGCTGTTTAAAATGTGAATGCAACTCTTATTACTGTGAGAAAACTGTTTATGCTCAGCCCCATGACTTCTAATTTAAAATACCCACAAGCACAGAGGGCTCCCTGCGAGATGAGAGCTCCTGCATGCCTTTCCTCCTTTCTATGCAGCGTTCATCTGTCTCTGCAGAAGGAGCTCGTGCAACTGCAGTTAGTCTAGTGTTTTCATCTTTTGTAGGGAGGAGTAAATAAACATACACTCTGTCTTACAAGACCTAGAAGTATCATATATATATATGTCTTTAAAATAATTCATTACTTTGGGTTACTGAAAATGTGCACAGAACTTTCTTCAGTTTTCACTGGTGTCCAACAACTGTATAATCCCACATATTATTCAAGTATCTTCCCACAGTGAGAAGTCCCCCAACTAAACTGTGTGAAATTGTAGCTCTCAGTTGACTCTAGCAGTACATGCACATGCTAGGTAAGAAAGTTCTGCACTGTCGAGCCAAGCCCAAGCCCAGCACTGTCCTCTCTTCCATTTATTTTCTCAAAATTTGTCACCATTTGATGCTCTGTAAAGCTTGCTGTTGGTTGTTTCCTCCCAGTGAACTTGACATTCCAACAAGGCATGGCCTTTTGTTGAGTATTACACTTTAAAGTACCAAGAGCAAAACATGGTTTTGATCAGTGAGATCCCTTACTGTGGATTTTCTCAATGTACAGCATTGGTCTGATGTCACATGTAAAACATGTATAAGAGGTATGGGCATTATTGTCCAGACATTCCAAAAGAAGAATGCTTGCACTGCCATGAACAGACGAATATACAGATGATGTGCAACTGGTTGGAATTGAGTACCATAGTTATTTTATAAATGTGACTGTGACTATTGGCTAGAGAAACCATCCATAGGCCATTATGGTATGGCTTAACTCATATTAGATGTTTATAACATGCTGTTTGAGATAATAAAACCCAATTTTACTTTTGCCCAATTTTGAATTAGATGGTTCTAATAGAAGCATCACACGATCAAACTTTCAGCCTTAGAATCCTAACTAGTCAGACTTCATCAAGTTTTGCAACAATTCTGGGTATTATACCCCTGAGCTAAATTGGAGACTTCTTTGTTGGGCATATCTGTGCATTTCGTCCTGGCTGGATTGCCAGCACAAGTCGCCCCTGCCTCCTCTTAGCCTTACTCTGAATATCCCCCTGTATGTCAGTATGTCCAGGGCTCCTGCTTGTCAGAACAGGGACAAGAGACTGATGGAGTGGAGTTTAATGGTAAAATAGCTAATGCTTCAGGCAGAGGGTAGGTTGGTTTTTAAGGTAGGAGGATGATCCAGGGAAGATACTAAAGCATGGTTAATGTTTGTACTTAGTAGCAACTTGTATAACTTTTCCTGGGAAGGTAGGAACCAGTGTCTGAACTCCTAATATGGTACCAGTGCCAGAACAAAGAACTGATTCTACTGAATCAGTTAAAGAATGGTTTCATTGGGGCTACTTATGGGGGTGTATGCATTGCTTAAGGAGCACGGTGACTGACTCATGGCTGCATTATTGAAAGGCTTGTCCTGCATGGGGTGATGACTCACAAAAGCTGCATTCTTCGAGCTCCCCAAACAGCTTGAAAACAGCTCCACTGAAAAGCCTCCTCTCTCCCCAGCCATCTGCTGGTTTTAGAGCCTTTGCTGAGGCCTTGCAAATTGTTAGCTTTCATGACCTTCCTGAACCTAGTAAATTTTCTTAACCTGCTGAGTCTTACCAGCCTTCCAGTCCCTCCAGAAGGGACTGTTTCAATGTTGAGGAAATGGCTACACTGTAGCACTGTACCATGCTAGTAATACTAATGGCCAAAAAAAAAAAAAAGTAACAAGTGTTCGCCACTAGAATGTTACTCCCATATTATTTCCAATGCAGCTGCAGGAACTAGTTACTCCTTTAAAAATTATTTATTTATTTATTCACTTTATATCCCTATCCTAGCCCCCTCCCTCCTCTCCTCCTAGTCCCACCCTCCCTCCTTCTTCCTCCTATCATCCCTCCCCTACTCTTCAGAAAAGGGGAGTCCCCCAACCCACCTGAGAACATCAAGTTGCGTCAGGACTGAGCATCCTCTTCCCCTGTGGCCTGGAGAGGCAGCCCTGCCAGGAGGAAGTGATTGAAAAGCAAGCAACAGTGTCCATGTCAGAGACAGCCCCCACCCCCGCTCTTCTTACTAGAGAATCCACATAGACTGAGCTGCCAATTGGCTACATCTATAGGGCCAGTCCATGTGTGGTCCTTGGTTGGTGCTTCAGTCTCCACAGGCCTCCCTGGGCCCTGGTTAGTTGGCCTTGTTGTTCTCTATGGAATTCCTATTCTCTCCCTTCTACTCTTCTCCCCGCCCCACCGGTTTCGCTGTGCTCCAACCAGTGTTTGGCTGTGAGTCTCAGCATCTGTATCTGCCTGCTGCTGGGTGGAGCCTCTCAGAGGACAGCTATGCTAGGCTCCCAACTGCAAGCATAGCAGAGCATCATTTATAGTATCAGGGGTTTGCACCCTCCTGTGGGGTGGGTCTCAGGTTGGCCAGACATTGGTTGGGCATTTTCTCAGTCTCTACTCTGTTTTTATCCCTGCACATCCTTTAAGCAGGGTAAATTTGGGGTCAAAGTTTTTGTGGCTGGGTTGGTGTTTTCCTCTCCCCACTAGGAGTCCTGTCTAGTTAGAGGGTGGTCTCTTCAGTCTTCATTACCCCTGCTACTAGGAGTGGCTGCCATATCCTCCCAAGAACCCTACCCTGTAGTAGGTCTCAGGTCATTGCAGAGATGCCCCAACCCATGGTTTCTCTTCTCTCGGTAGGCCCTCTGTCCTCCTGCGCCTGCTTTCCCCAGGTCTGATCTCCACCCCCATTTCTCTCTGTGCTTCCATCATCTAACTGCCAAAGAACCACCATCGGTTCTAGCAACAAAGCTCAGCTGGCTGGGCCAGGATTTGAACGCAGCCTTCTGAGCTGAGTGTGTGCTGCTGTGTTTCTTCTAAGCACTGAACAGTAAATCCAAACGTGCTTTTCATGCAGATAGTATTTATTTGACATGAAACACAGACACTTTCTGGAAATATTTGTAAGCTATCACATTTAACAAATAAAAGAGTTATCTGTTTTAGCTAGTTTCAAAACAAGCACTTATGTTCTAAAAAAAAAAAAATGTCACATTGCAGCCTTCTGTCATCAATAACATATTCTCCCAAACTGGAGCGCAAGACAGCAGAGTGTGTGACAGCAACAGACAGCGACAATGAGAAGGGAGAGAGAAATAGCAAACGTGTCTGTTTCAATGTAGCAGGAGATGAGCAAGAGGATTCGGGTCACGACACAGTCAGCAACAGAGACTCTTACAGGTAAGCCGCTTCTCGGTCCCATTTCATCAGCAAACTCAAGCGAGAGTTTATATTTTCCTCAAGAGTCTTGGGTTTCTGTAGTAGTTAGCCAGGACTGATAGAATAAAGTCCCACCCACTGGCTGGCTTGAACAAGAGGGTAAATCAGATAGCTCTGGAACCTGGAAGTCTGACCAAGATGCTGACTGTGTTGGTTCCTTCTGAGGACTGTGAAGACATCAGTCCTTCACATGTAAATTGTCACCTTCCCTCTGTGTCTCCTCATGTGACCTCCCATTATAGATCGCCTTCTTATAGGACAACAGCCATATTGGATCAAGAACCCATTCTGATGACCTTACCATGACGATTGCCTTAAATGTGGTCACATTTTGAGGTACCTAGTATTAGATTCCAACTTCAGCCTTTGAGGTTAACACAGTTCACCCAGCACCTCTTCCTGCTCAAGGCTCTCGTGATGAATCCCAGCACCAAAAGTGCTTTTCTCTCTCATGTGTGAGAAAGTGCCCTTCTCTCCATGCTTCTCACTGAGCGCTTTCACAACTAGCCACACACACTGTGTGCACAGTTTCAGCATCTCTGCTTTCATTTTTATCAGTCGAAGGAAAAATGTTCTCTCAAAACTTATGTAAATATTAATTATATCAAAACTATTCCCATCAGGTAACTAGCGGTCTTTTAAAGTATAGTTTTAGCAGAAGAATTTAAGATAATATGCGACAGCAACCAGGGGAGGCAGATTTCTGGTAGCAGCTCCATTCAATAACCGAGAAAGTAGAGGTCCATGGAGTTAGGATAGATAATTCGCCTTTGCAACCATGGTCTTGCTCCATAGTTTCTTGCATAACTAGTCTGCCATCCTAATTTTTATTTTTCCAAAGAGGATTTTTAACGACTACATCAAGGTTAATTATTCCTGGAGATTTAATAATGGATTAAACACCTTTGCTCTTTCATTCACTTCTAGCCTCTGATTGTATCAGAGTGCTCAATACTAGGAATCTGTGGTTTCTCTTCAGTGGGAAATTACATTTCTAAAAATATGTTCTACCTCACATCCTAGTTATCAGATAATTAAAATTATCCACTCAGTCTCTCTTTAGACTATGACAGAAATTTTAACTGTAAATTGAAAATCAAGTTCTTTTTCCTTACTCTAAGAGGTTAAAAAATAAAATAAAACAATATTTTTTACACTATTTCTACATTCTGAATTATTCTCATATTCAACTGCACTGAAAAGTTCTTTCTGTAGACAGTTTTCATTTTTTAGAGATTTTTATTTATTATGTATACACTGTTTTGCTTATTACATGTATACCTGCACTCCAGAAGAGGGCATCAGATCTCACCATAGATGGTTGTGAACCACCATGTGGTTGCTGGGAATTGAATTCAGGACCTTTGGTATAGAACAGCCAGTCCTCTTAAGCTCTGAGCTATCTCTCCAGCCCTGACAGTTTTCATTTTTAGTCCTTTCCGGTGCTGTGTTGTTCATGGAGAGAGATGAGGTTGCTGTGTGGGGAGCTCCAGGAGTCCCCAGTAAGTTATTATTTAAAGTACCAAAAAGGATTGAAAGAGAAGTCAAGAACCAGGCTTTGTCTCTGCCAGAAACTTGTCTAACCACCGTTATTAAGTAGATAGTGAAGAATCTTATGTCGGCTGACTACTGGTTTAATAACCAGACATTTTCAAAAATTCACTTAGGAATGAGTTATATGACAGGAAAATTTGGAATGTTTGGATTTAAAGGAGTGCTTTTAAAAACTGAGATAAGCTGAGTTGGGCAGGCTTCTCTTTCGCGCAGCGTTATATGGAATACGCTGGTAAATGTAGCTATGGCGGTTAGAAATAGCAAGAGGACATGGGCATGCTTTTTACTGTGATTTTAGTTAGCATACGAAGCAATGTTGCCTCCCCTTATGGCATTCTCTTCTACATCCCTGTTCTCTTTTCATCTTTGGCCTTCACAACTCTCTCTTGCCATCCCACTGGACTACAAACCCGGGCAAGCATAGTCTTAAAGCAACATGCGGCTCTTTTTTTTTTTTTTTTTTTTTTTGCAGCGACTGCAACAGCAACAGGAATTCCATTGCCTCCTTCACGAGTATCTGTAGCAGCCAGTGCAGTTCCTACTTCCACAGTGACGAGATGGACTCAGGTGCGTGCGGTAGACAGCTGGGCTCTTCGATTGTTCGTAGCCTCCCAGACGCCTGTAAGAGGGGGATTGAGTTCTTTGACTCACACGCATCTTCAGTGTTCTTAGTCACTCTCGGTGGCCACCCACATTGCACCATGACTGATAAAGCTAGCTCACAGATACCAGTTATAAGAAAGGTGCATTTCAAAGTGTTATTCTGCACAGGTTCTGCTCTCCCTGTTCATTGTGAAGGGTTCTAGGTACATTGGAAATAAGTTTTGGCAAAAGCATTGTACATGATGAATGGTTGGATGGAGGTGTGAAGGTGTTTCAGCCTGAAGATGGTTTTTAGAAGGTACAGACACTTGAGAGGACCTTATATTTAGTTAACAGGGAGAGTGTTGTTACACACACACACACACACACACACACACACACACACACACAGGGCTTTATGCTTTATTCTTCTTGCAAGGGGCATTGGTTTAGGTTATTTCAGGAGCATGAGCTGACTGACTTTTCTGTTCCATGAGACCTACTACAATTTCTTTTCTGATGTTGGATAAGAGCTCATTTTGAAGTGCTTGTATTTTATCACACATGAGAATATTTCAACAGGTTAAAAATGAGATGATGGTTTTAGCTTCTTTTTTTTTTTTTTTCATATAGGCGATGAGCTTCCTGTCAGTGTCCGAATATCTCGTGATAAACAGGATAAGATACACACTTGTCTGGAGCAGCTTTTCAGCCAGGTGTGATGGAGCAGTTTTGGGTCTTTTTTCCGAGTTAAAGGTCAGAGATCTTTGGGAAGAGCCTGGAAGGAGAATAGAAGTGTCTCTGTCTCTCAGCCTTCTTTGCTTTAAAAGAGGCATTCCTACAGCAGCTAACCAAAAGGATACTTGTGTATACCAAGTATTCTAGAAAACTATATGGCACACTGAAACGAACTACACATACAGGAGATGCCCTCGTGATGATTTGTGGGATAGCTGAATGTTTCCAGCACCTTGCTTAGTATCATTTCTAGTTTCGAAAGCTGCCCTATTTTCTGGACTTCCATGTTAAGACTTTGCTTTTGACAAATATTCTATAGTTAAAATTAAAATTTATAGTATTGAAAGTTTAGCACTTTGAAAGTATTTTTGTGTTTTTTTTTATCAATTGGAAATGTTTAAGAGAAAAGAGTAGATTATAATATGTTGCTTAAAGATTTTACTAGCATTGTGGGTTTTCAGAAGCATTTATTTAAGAAAGTTTATAAGATATGCTCATACATGTATATCATATATATATATTTATATACTCATATATGTATATACATTATGTATTATGGCTGCATGTAACACTCAGAAATCTACTTTTGATAGATGGATTCAATAACCAACCTCTTGAAAGGACAAGCTGTTGTAAGGGTGTTTGAACAAACCAAGTATTTCACACCAGGTCGAGGATTGCAAGGTATGTTTGAAATAAGATTAGATGTAAGCGCATCTAATAATAAGCACACTCTAATAGTCAACCTGGTTAAAAGGCAAAAATATTACATTAGATTAAAAAAATTGTTTCTGCTCCGTAATTCACTTCTGTTTGGATTGTTTTGGAAAATATTAAAAATTACCATACTATCTGTTATAATCTTTTTATGCTTCTTTGAATGTTTAAAAGAGTTAATACCTCTAGTGGCAAAACAAAAAGTGCATGAATTAAAGACACGAAAGACTTAAGTAGCTTCTGCTACTTTAGATAAAGTCTATCAGCTCGGTTGACACTTATGAGAGAGATTTTTCGTCTTTGATTAGAATTCCAACAGGAAATGGAGGCCAAGCTCAGCTGCCCCAGGAGGTTGAGGCTTCACCTCAAGCAGGATCCTTGGAACCTTCCCAGCGGCGTCCGGGCCCTTGCACAGAGCATCCGAAAATGTGTTGAAGGTCAGTAGGAAAAACGAAGAATATTGTCCGATGTCAGGAATAATCACTTAAAAAACCAGTAAAGCCCGAGTCTTGTAATGCCCCATGGGCTTCTGCAGAGATTCCCATCCTGAGGCAAATAAAAGTGGGTGAGGCAGGAGGAGCTGGAGAAAGAATGAGCCGCACGACACTGCAGAGTGTATCATGGAGAGCATTCTGCGTGAAGAGAACAGGCCTTGTACATGGGCAGATGAAACACCGGGCACTCGGGAATTTGGAATTTGAAATAATAAGAGAAAAATAATAAGGAACTAATCAAAAGTACCTGAAGCTTAATCTTCCTAGAAGGCCTAGAATGTCTACTCTATATCTGTGTAGGTTGCATCACCAGTTTTTAAAGTTTTGGTCTTGCCTGATGGCCACTGGCTGCCCTGCCATTATTTTCACGACCTTCTGAAGTTGTCACAGCCTCAAATTCTGGAGATGGTTTTGATTATCACGGCTTCAGGTGCTCTGCTGGCACCTCGTGGGTAGAGACCAGGGAAGCTTCGGAGCCTGCTACCATACACAAGGCCATCTGTCACAACAAGGGATCATCTACCCCCAAATAGTGACAGCGCTAAATTTGAGAAATGTGTACAGCAAACATTGTGCCACACTTACAGTTTTATTTCTTAGCCATTTGTTTGTCACTTAGCTATGAAAAACTTGTATTCAGCAAGACTCTAGCATACTTCTAATGAGCCCAGTTTTAGGGTAAATTAGGAAGAGCTTTCTATTTTGCAATCAGAAGACCAGCTTTTCCTGTCTGGTAGAGTCTGTGCACATAAGTCTCCTACATAGAAAGACACTCAAATACAGCAGGTTTGAACATTGAGTCGAGTAGAGAGGGCATTTGGAGGGATGTGGATAAAGCGGACCCCCAGGTAAATAACAGAGATTCTATTCAATCATAAAATGTTTTATTATTTGCAACTGGATTTCTTGGCTATATTTTAATTTTATGGCTTAATACTGTGGTGTTCTGGGACACTTATAATGTTCCAGTCGATGAAAATTCTGAATCAAAACTGCTGCAAGTAATGAATATTAAAAAATAAGTGGGTTTTAAAGACACTAGTGAATTGAAGCACATGCTTTATAGAGGGGAAAACATATTTTCTCAAACTAGTTAGTCCCCAGTTGCATAATGCTCCCAGAAGCTGTAAATTCATAGTTGATCTTGCCATCTTCTGAGGTTTTGATGATGATAAAAACAGATTTAATTGTATTTGTTTTTCAAGTAAGCACAGTATTGATTAGACATGAACATACTTCTGAAACTTTGTTTTGTAACTTTTTTAAAAGAATTTCATCTTTCACATGTACATTTCTAAGGTAGAGAAAAAGCTTAATAAAGAAAACACTTTTAAACCTTACATTATTATCTCAAGTTGAGTTTTTATACTCTGTTCCTCAAGGCACATTTTACAGGGATGAATTTATCAATTGTTTATTCATCTGATTGATTCATTCATTGATTGACTGATGTCCTGGATGCTGCTACCACCTTCGTCATGAGACCCTAGTAGCTGGTTTAGTCTGTCTGTCTGTCCTGAGACTCTTAGAGTGAGTGGTGTGGCAGGGGCCTTTTGCAAGCTTTACGTTCTGCTTGAAATCCAGTTACTCTGGGTAAAACTCAGATTGTCTCTGTGTTAAATGGGTCTTTAAAAAAACAATTAATTTTCATCCACTGCTTCAGCTGCCAGGCTGTCCCAGGGACAGGGTGAGCTGACATTATCTTTAAGTCAGTTGTGATGTGGAACATCCTTAGGTAACCTCTCCAGTCCTTTACTACTTTCTTCCACTTGGTTTAGTGTCATTTTCATCTGACTTTTCAAACTGTAGTGAATGATGTCAGAGATGTAGCTCCATGGATACTAATAGGTAAAAATTTAACCTATCGATACTTGGCTAGAAATTTGTGTTTTACATATGTCAACAGAGTGATTCCAGTTCTTATATGTCCAGGTCTCTGACTTAAAATTTAAACCATGTACGGTATCAAAGTACCATACTTCTATGTCCTTTATTTAAGAAGGATTGCTACAGTGACATTCCTTGCTTAGATGACTATTTACCCATCTATATATAGCCTACTGAACTGAATGGAAGAGAGAAGATAGTAGACAATAGCCAGCTCAATAGGGGACTGATTGATTAAGATGTCATACAAAAAAGGTAATTACCTGTCTCCTGCTTAATCTTTCAGCTAAGCAAAGTGTCATCTTGCCAGCTAACTTGAAGTATATTTACTTAAGATTATGCTCAATTTGTGTTACATGACCATTCCTAGGAAGATATAAAGAAATGCCCCGTTACCCCAGATAGGGGAATGGCAGACCAAAGCTTCCATCCAGGTCCAGCTTGGTGAGCCAGTGGGTTTACTGCGGCCACGTCCAGGAGCATGGGCTAACTCGCAGCTATGGGCAACTTGTTGGTTGGCCAACTCAGCCTGTGTGACAGACGGCTGCACCACTGTGAGCATTCCTGCACAACTTGCAGGCGGCCATGGCGCTGAAGAGCCCCTCTCCTCTGCAGCTGGGTACTGCCAGCACAACCAGTGGGAAGGCCTTTGGGAGTCTTCTAATGTTCCTGAGTTTTCTGAATCTGCTTGTGAGTTTCATGAGCACTCTCCCTCCAGGAGGGAGTGTTTCACGTGGTTGTAATGTAATGATTGTACGTATCAGCATTTTCTCCTCTTCTTTTTTTTGAAAATGGCATTCTTTGAAAGATCTATTTTTTCCCCCAGAAACCTACTTTTAATTTTTCTTTTCTTCTTCTTCTTTTAATTTTTTTTTGCCTATATTTGTCTCAGAATCTTAAGGCACATTTTTTTTTCATTTTCTATTTATCTTGCCTTCGTAATGCTGCTAATTATTCTTCTCTCCATGTCTTATGATTCATATACACTATTTCCAAATGTCTCATTAATGGTCATTCTTCTACCCTAGACTCTTGCAGTGATTTTCTCTTAGATGATTCTAAACTCCTCAGTCTAATGATATGTTATTTTTTACTTGAACTTCATAATTGTAGCTCCAGTTCTGGTGTCTAATGGCATGGTGACAATCTCTCCGTGCTAAATGATTGGATTATTTGTTATTCATGTTCTCATGTATTTCTTTTCTGGCACCATTCCCACGTATGCTCCCTCTCCCTGGTGGTCTACACCCAAGTTTCTATGAAGTATTTTCTTGTTGTAGAGTCTGTATCTTCTTCAGCCAGCTCTCAGTTAAAGGAGTAGCTTTTTTTTTTTGGTATATACAGCATTAAACAAACGTTCAAAGACCTTGAGTATATTTGCTGTTTATTTTTCCTATACAAGCCATTATATAGATAAAGTAGATATCATCTATGAATGAGCTGAGACTGACAGTAATTATTAGATTTTTAAAGCCATGAAGGTAGAGTATAGCAAACCGGTTTTCAGTTCAATGTGCTTTCTTGTCTCTGATATGCTTTTGTTTTGTCAGTCTTGTTTGTAAATGTTCCGTGTGCTTTGAAGTATTGTCTAAAATCCTGATCAGTTAACCTACCTGCTCTCTCTGACACTTAAGACAGGATGCTTTGTAACATTTTTTTCCATCCATAATCTTGGTTACATAGGAGGAACTCCATACTTTTTAAAATTTACCTAATACAAGTGCATAATTTACTATCGATTGCAGATGAACACAGTGATAATTAAGAAATTAATATGTACTTGGCAAATATTTGTGATTATTCCTGTGTGGGATGGAATAGCAGAGTGCATTATTGTATATACATGCACTTTTATTCTCTGAAATTTTTAGTCATAGTAGCAAGCATTATTTTCACGGCTTAACAATACAACTTAAATATGTTAGGGAAGAGAGCATACAGGCCGAAGTAGATAAGGATTACCTAGAATTTGGCAAGATTGAAACGATATTCTATTACTTGTGTAATTTGGAGCTGAAATATGTTTTGGCATTTTGAACAGTTGATTGCATTTATCTGTGTAGATGGGCAGCAGCAGAATGTCAAGTAAATAGCATTTTGCTTACCTAATATAATAAGACCATGATAAATTTTGCTACCATGTTGCAGTGTGTTGCAGGAACAGAGTGGACAGTTAACGCATGTCTGTTCTTTCTCTGCAGAGGTGAAGTGTCGGATCCTGCTGGCTCTCCTTGAATACTCAGGTAATGCATTGTCCTATTTTTACCATCAGAAGCATTGTGGCCCAGGATTATAACATTCTTAAAATAGGAAATCAATTCCTTCTGCCACTCTATGTGATAAATGGGCTTCTGATACCTGCCTTCCCCAAAGTGCTGAAAAGAATTTTTTTTTTAAAAAAAAATGTATTTAAGTGCTTTAATAAGAGCATAAAAGCACATGCTCGATTTTGATCATCAGTACATATAAAAATGCATATAAACGCATATTAAAACAATCTCATTAATAAGAGAAAGAGAAAGCTGGACATGAGAGCATAGGCAGGCAATCCCATCCCTCAGGAAGCCAATGAAGGAGTTGAAGGCCATTCTGGGTTATACAGCAATACCTTCCCTCAACAAAACAAGGAGAAAGGGTATAGGCTGTGGTAAAAGTGATTGTTATGAATATGGGATTCATCATGAAACCATCTAATTGTTGTTCATGGCCAAGGATTTATATGAACATTTCCACATCTTACATTAATGTTCTTATACCATGCGTTTAGTAGGAGCTCAGCATAATTAGCAGTGATACCAAAGGACAATTAAACATTTGATCTGAGTCTAAATTACAGGTGGTATGTCACTAGCTTCCTTAAGTAAAGCAGGTGCCATTTATTTTTATTGTCAAAAAATACCTAAAGTAGTAGCTGTCATAAATGTCCATCAAATTATGTGTTGCAAGAAATAATTGATAGTCTGAGAATGTAGCTCCATTGGTAGAGTGCTGTCCTAACAGTCAGGAAGCCGTTGGTTGCGTCCATAGCATGGCATGATGGCAACCCTCCTAAAAGTAGCACTCAGCAGGAACTCCACAAAGAGAGCAACAGAATAAGAAAATTTGAATACAGGGAACTTCCTAGAGACTCATACTCCAACCAAGGACTATTCATGGAGATAACCTAGAACCCCTGCACAGATGTAGCCCATGGCAGGTCAGTGTCCAAGTGGGTTATATAGTAATGGGAAGAGGGCCTGCCTCTGACATGAACTGATAGGCCTGCTCTTTGATCACCTCCCCCTGAGGGGGGGAGCAGACTTACCAGGCCACAGAAGATGACAATGCAGCCACTTCTGATGAGAACTGATAGTCTAAGATCAGAAAGAAGGAGAGGAAGACCTCCCCTATCAGTGGACTTGGGGAGGGGCATGCATGCAGAAAGGGGAGGAAGGGTGGGGTCGAGAGGGGAGGAGGGAGGAGCTTATGGGGGGATACAAAATGAATAAAGTGTAATTAATAAATAATAATAATAATAATAAAACCTAGCACTCAGGAAATGGGTATTGTGGAAGCAGGCATGAGCTCAGCATTACTGCTACAGTGATACCAAGTAGCTGGTTCCAGTGAAAGAGTAGAGACAGCTCCTCTCCTGGATTGCGATTGGTTTGTTTTTGTTGCTGTTGTTTTTGGTTTCTTTTGTTTTTTTGTTTGTTCAAGATTTAAGAGCCAGCTTCACACTCAGTTGCCATGGCTGGCCTTGAACTCCTTTGTTGAAATGATCCTCTTGCCTCAACCGTTCGAATATCTGGGAAATGCTGCCACACTCGTCTTGGGATTTTCGTTTTGATGGTAGGACGCTCAAAATTATATTGCAAGCACATGGCTACAGGTAGGGTGTAGGACAGTTTTAGAGCCTGCCATACTTGCAAAGTTTTGGTGACAAATGAGTTGAGTCAACCAAAAAAAGGGCTTTCTGTTTGTTGGGTGGCTGGTTTGCACCTTGTTTCTTGATTAATCACAATAATTTCAAAAAAATTACATTTTTAAAAACTTTTCTAAAGGCATTTCACAGGTTCCTTTTTGCAAATTTTATTGGGGACAACTATTATTGTTTATATTGTTTTGGGAGAATAATAGCAACTAGTAGACTGTGTTTATTAAACTCAGATCTTGACTGTCGCGAGAGTTTACCAAAATAATCCCCAGTGAGTTAATTTAATAAATAGCAAAGGCAGTTGTGAATTTCTTTTCTTTTCTTTTATTTTAGGACTTTGATACATAACCCTACATCATCTCCACCTTTCCATCTTCTGACTCCTGTGTGTATCCCCTCCCAAATTCCTGATCTTCTCTTGAATTATTATTATTGTAGGCATACACATATGTAGACACACACAGGCATACACATATATATGCACACATGTATATGTAATCTACTGAGTCCATTTAGATTTGCCTGTATTTATGTGTCCAGGGCTGGCCACTTAGGATTGGACAGCCTGTGTGGGAGTGCTCTTCTATGGTGGCTTCTCCCTCTCCAGGAAGCCTTTGACCAGCTGCAGCCTCACTACCATTCCTGTTCTGTGAAGTCTTTGTCTTCGTGTCTGCGCTTGTCTTTCTTTCCCCTGGGCTGTCTTGGTGTCAGTATGTTCTCCATCAACATTTCTATGTATCCCCACTATCCCCTTCAGAGTTGTTCTCTGAGCAGTAAATTAAGGCGCTTAGACTGGTAAATAGGTAAGATTACACAGAGTATTGAATTTTTTAGATGCTTATAGAAGATAGATATAGTAGACACTTAAGTATTGAAAGAGGATTGAAGCTTTTTTACAGGAACAAAGAACATTTTCCTCAAATATATCCCCACTACAAGAAAAATCGTACTCCACAAAAATAATTAGCAAGCTAATAATTAGCTTCTCTTGCTAGAAGCTTGGTACAGCTGTTAAGATGCTTGCTAGAGTTCTTCTTTTTTATTTTATTTTTTTTATAAGACTAGGAAGTGAGAAGAGCTTTGGTATGGAAGGACACTGGGGAATTTTGAATGACTACATAGTTTAAAGGAAAAGAGTACGTTTTTGTTTGCACAAAAAAGATTCTGTTTCATTTCTTTATCATTCTGTTCTGTCTCTGCTCAGGAACTTGACCAGGTACCCATTCGGTGCCACGCACTGCTAGATGCTAAGAACAGAGTAGTTGCCACAATAAACCCATTATGCTGCATTTTGTTAATAAGTGCCTGGCACTTAAAATTCTATTTGTCATATTAGAGACCTAAGGTCAGAAGCAGAAATGAATCTCATCTTAGTGTTTTCTTCTTTCCAGCACTAGGGATTGAACCCAAAGCTTTGTTCTTGTTCATGTCCAGAAGTGTTCTATTTCTGAGTTATATGACCAGCGCAAACCCATTGGCTTAAGATGTTAGCTAAAGGCTCGTTAGTTGCCTCTGAAGTCTGTGGGTCTAACTTCTGCCCTTAACGCACTGATGATCCAATGGGGAATCCAGCTAGATAAACAGACTCTCAGAGTGCTGTTAATTATCCATCTTAGAGAGAGATGTCCTAGGTCTCTGATGGCAGAAATAAGTTCATTATATTTCCTGATAGACAAGGAAAATTTCACACGGGGAGATACAATATTTCAACAATGTAAAGATGTCCAGCCTTTCAATGCATTTACCACTAACGTTTGTGGGTGATTCTTCTGACTAACGGGGCATAGAAACAAAACATGGGTTATGAGGCCATTTAGCAAGACATTCATTGTTTGAAGGGTGCCAAGCTTTACCACATGACTCAGTGCAGATCTGTGCACACACACTTCTTTGTTCTGTGACAGTATCACAGCTCTAAAAGTCATACTGCATTATGGGAGGAAAAGAGGGGTTGGGATATTGAGGAGCTGTGAATAACAGGTAGGGGTTATTATCAGTGACCTTGATGCTACTGAGTTTTCTACTCCGTATATAAAGTAGAATATGCTTTGAAGTTCACATAAGCAAGTCATCTGTTCTCTCCTAAAAAATTGCAAAGTGATGACTGAGTATCACCCCATAAACAGTGAGCGTTTATTGAGTGACTTTCATTTAACATTTTGTTAGTATAAAATTTAAACAACATTGTTGTCCAAGACAACTTGCATGTCTTCATCCATTATTCAGTTATGGATAGAAGTATGGTCAAGGCTCTGACTGGGGCTCCTCCCACTCCGGTAATTGATACCAAGCCTTATTCCCTTAGGACAGTCAGTGTTAAAATGAACCCGTGAACAAGAACAATGTACATTTGGCAGAGCTATCAACACTTTTGAATGTTAATTGTGGTCTCATCTGATTTGATAAAGGTTGAGTGAAAATTGGCTTACATGTATATAGACTATAGAGAGACTAGATAGAGAGCCCAAGGAGCGTCTAAGTATTGGGGTGATGTAAAGAATAAAATTTGAGAATTCCTTTTCAGAAGTACTTTAGACATCATTATTTTAACTAGTTATTAACCCTTGTGATCCTACTCAGACTGATGTGGAGGCCAGAGCCTTTCCTCCCTAGAAGACAGCTTCCCACTCTTTATATCAGCAATTTCTTCCGATTTTTTTTTTATTATTTTGAGTTACTGAGCATTATTAAAACTTTATCCAGGTTTTCTGCTTTCATCTAGGACAACAAAAAAGGATAGTAAGAAAGTTAAGAAAAAAAAAAAAGAGGACCCATTTTTTTACTATACTTTTGAGCTCACAGGCTTTGTAAATGTGGCTAAGTTGAACTGTATCCACAGATTGCAAGAAGTCTAAGAATGACCTCAAATCAGGTGTTTTCCTTTTTTGTGTGTGTGGGGGAGATGAGTAAAGTTTATTCCAGTTTTCGTGTTGGCTAGATACTTGCAAAAAATTCTTTCCCACCTAGCAGCGCAGGACACGTGGTATAGAAATATTTAAGAGAGAAGTCTAACATACAAATGTTGGTTAAATGAGTAAGTTGAACCTTATAGATAGCATATTCAATCCTTTCTCTCTGCCAAAGGAGAACACTCATGTAGTTCAGCCTAACAAGGGAATATTTTCAGTAGAATATTGGATATTTCGATATTTAATCTATTTTCTAAGAAAAATGTCAAGAGTGAATGTTCCTTATATTAAAAGTAACACAAAACAACTTTATTGTGTGGAAACATAATTTTGATGGTCATTAAAAGCAGATGTTCGATATTGTTGGTAAATGACTTAAAAAATCCTGCCTCTGTCAATAAAATGAGAATTCAACATTGAAGACATCGTTGTCTTCATATTTTCTACTAATATTGGTAATAGCTATTCACTTCATGGGGTTCTTTAAGACCTCAGTATCCTCAGACCACTTTTGGGAGGGGGTCATTTTGCCCCGGGTTCCTGCCCTAAACAGGGTCTCACCCCATGCAGAAAGCACAGCCTGTGATTATGTAGGTGGTAGTTTGTACTCAAGCCTAGTGAGTCCTGGATATTCCATCATCTTCATTTACAAACGGGCCCTAGAGAGGCAGGGCACGTGTAAAACATATGTTCAAATCTGCTTCACCAAAATTCACTCAGCTGTAGGATACTATTTCTCCTAAGCATATTAGAATCAATTTATGCTGAAATTAAATATATTAGTATGTCAGGGGAAATATAGGAATCCCTAGTCTTATAAATGTAGACATATTTACTAATCAGGAAATTGAATGATTTAATTTATAAGTTATAGATCTGGTTGCTAGTACAGTTAATTGTTCAGCAAATAGTCTTTGCCCACATGCATTCATATTTGGGTAGGTTTCAAAGATAGTTATATAAAATATTAACAATGTTCTTTGTCAGCACAAACTTTACAGTTAGACTTTTAAGTCTTTTTAGCAAATAAAAATTGTGTCATATGAGTTAAAAATAATATATAAGCAAAGCTTTATATTTTCCTCAGGATTTTATATAATATATTAATGAGCACAAAATAGAGTCACAGTGCAAATGAAAAAAATTTCATTTTTACTTTTATTCTTTAGAATCTTCATATATATATACCTAATGTAGGTTGAGCATATACATCCTTCATTTCTCTACTTCAGCTACCCCAGGACCTCTGACTATATATCCTGCCCAAATTCATGTCTTCCTTATTTATTTTATTTTGTTTTGTACATGTATCCATAGGGACTACGCTCCACAACGCTGTGTTTTGATTGGTTGTAAATGTCTATAATGGTGTCTGTTTCAAAGAGAAGTTTCTTCAATGAGTGATGAATATTACACTCCTCCGAGAGCATAAGGATATTTAGAATGTAGTTATAGATTATGCTGGTTTAATAAAGAGGCAGTTTTACATTCTTCTCCACGAGAGGTTTCTCGTAAATACCTGGTTTCTTTCATGCTGAGTGGGTCTTGAGTCTGTTCAGCAAGCTGTTGGTAAGTGCCAGGGCATGCGTGCCACTTCTGTACCATTACAGTTATCATGCCATGCTGGTGATGGTTTCTGCAACATGTTTATTTTGTATTGTTCTTTTGAGACAGGGTCTTGCTATGTATTCCTGGATGTCCTGGAACTTACCATAAAGTCCCGGCTGGCCATGAACTCACAGAGATCATGCTTGGATTAAAAGCATGTGTCATCACACCTGGCTACTGCAATAAAGCTTCCTTTGTGTTCCTTTCAATCACAGATAGTGAAACCCAGCTCCGGAGAGACATGGTTTTCTGCCAGAGTCTCGTGGCGACTGTCTGTGCCTTCTCTGAGCAGCTCATGGCTGCCCTAAACCAGATGTTTGACAACAGCAAGGAAAATGAAATGGAGACTTGGGAAGCCAGCAGAAGGTGGCTGGACCAGATTGCGAATGCAGGTGTTCTTTTTCACTTCCAGTCACTTCTCTCACCAAATCTGGTAAGGAATCTTACGACTCCCATTGCCTGCATGAGCTGTAAGGAACATGGTGACATGTTACCAAATGTGAAGCACATGGCCATTTCTTTCTCATTATCTCTTTCATTGTTTCCACGGTCTCCGCTGCTTTAAAGAAAGATTTCCCCCTGTGGTCATTCAGGCTTTAATGAGAATGCAGAATGTGCTTCTTCTCTTCAGAGTTTTAGATCTTGTTTCTGGCTGCTAAAAGCTGGGAAGGACTCCACTGTTAGCAATTCTTAGGTCCTTAAGCACTGACTGGAAAAAGTCGTGAGAAAAAAGTGGGTTCTTATAAAATCCATTCAGTCCAGAAATAACAACTCCCATGATACCAGAGCTGCCACTGATGAAAATATCTGGGGCATGCTTCACGGAGCAGCTACTGTCTGGCAATCTGCTTAAAATTTACATGTGCTAAACAATTCCGGTTCGTGCTTTGAATGAGTGTTCTCTTTGAATGAGCGAGAAAACTATAACATCTATAGAAGAAAGTGCCAAGTTCAAGCATGGAGACACGTGAAGAATGGATCTTGAAATATTTGAAATACAGAGAACTTTGGAATTTTTCCATATAGACTTTCTGTAGTTTTTGTGATGTCCTGCCGCACAAATGTTCACTTTTATTTGCACAAACGTTTTGAGGGCTCACTAAATGGATTTCTGATTTTGAACAGGAGAGCCTGTTTTATCTGTTAAAGTACAAGTAGAAAATGTAGCTACCAAGTGACAGAGTTTTAAAACAAGTATAGATGTGTTGATCTATCGAAATAGCACTTTCTTACTGTTGAATGAGGAAGTGATTTTTGTACAGCACATTCATAGAACACTCCGGAATGAAAAAGTAGGGGCTTCCATCCCAGACTGGCTAAGAGATACAGAAGTAGATTCTTTAGAAAAGATTCTATGCACTCCATGTGGGCAATAAATTACTTACTTGGTTGATTTAAAGTGAAACACATTAGAAGATGTGCTTTTATTAAAAACACCATAGCATATCCAAGTTTTGCATGATGGTCAGGTTACTTCCTAACATAGTAGCAGTCTTTGTTGATTGAATGAATGAATGAAAGCATGAGTGAGATTTTATTTCTATTCTATTCTCTTTAGTTAAGCTTCTGATATCTAATCAATTGTCACTGCATTGACTTTAAGCTTAATTTTAAGTTTCCAAGATTAGAAGAAAATATTTAGAAATCATAGAGGCAATAAATCGCATCGATTAGAATGTATAAGGAACTCTCAGGACTCAACAGTAATAAAAAAAATGACCTAATGTAAAAGTGGGATGATGATTTGGATGCTGTTGTAGAAGATGTAAAAATGGCCATTAAGCACATGACAGATAGACAGTATCAGGTACCAGTAGAGAAAGGCAACTCAAAGTACGAAGATAGAGCTCTGTACAACAACAAGTGTTGGTGAGGATCTGTAGAAATCATAATCCTCAGAAATGAGTCAGGGAATGTAAAATAAGGCAACCTCTTTGGAAAACAGCTTAGCGGTTCTTCAAGACATTAAACATAGTTCCTGTATTCCTGAAATTCTAGTACCTGCATCATTCCCAAGGGAAACACAAGCTTCTATTCACAAGGACCTGTGACAAACAGTCCTATCAGCACTATTCAAAATACATAAATATTGTTAGCAACGCAGGTGTTTATCAGTGGATGGCTGGATAAGGAAAATGTGTGTTTTATGTAATAAAGTCTTATTTGCGCAGAGACCATTTGTAGTACTTATGAGTGCTAAACTGTACATGAATCTTAGAAGCACAAACGTAAGGAATCCAGCCTGGCAGGAAAAAAAAAAAAAAAAAAAAAAAAACACAGACTGCCTACATTGTGATGAAGCTTGCTGAGTGGATACATTTCTGAGATCAAAGTAGACATTTGACTGCCTGGAGCAAAAAATTGGAGTAGATACTCCAGGGAGAGGGGCTTATTGATATTCCATTTCTTTTGGAGGTGATGAAAATATTCTAACATTAAACGATGACAGAAGCGTTTCAGTTCTACATACACTAAAGACTCCGAGCAGGGTATTCTGATATGTGAATCCCATGCTCCGCGAGTTGCAAATCTCAGCGAAACTGTGCTCCCCTTACAACCTGGCCTTGTGAAATCTTCATGTTTATTTCAATCACTGATTTTTCAACCAGAGTTTACTCTAAAAAAATAATTCAAGGAAAACTCTGCATTGAGAATGTAAAGCCCTGAAGGCGTCCATACAAATAGCACCATACAGACTGAAAAGTTTATATTTAGAATGTATGTGTGCCTACATCTGCACATATACACACAATAATAATTAGTGGAAAAGAAGGTCATTAATTCGAAGGAGAGCGGGGAGGGATGCATGGAAGAGTTTAGAGGGAAGAAAGAGAAGAGAGAAATGCTATAGTTAAATGATAACCTGGATCAATAAATAAAGACGTAAATGAAAGCACAAGCTCACCTGCGGCTATGGCTCTCTGAAAGCTGTGGTAACCGGGGACCATGCTCCCGAAAGCTCCCGAAAGCTCTAGACACAGGCAGTTGTTACTGAGCTCTGTCACATTCACTGAAACAGCATCGCTCACATTGCAGTGTTCGGAGGCGGAGGTGCCTGGAACAATTCTCCTAACTCTATTCCTTGGCATTAGGGAAATGATAAATTTTTTTTCCAGTCCATAAACTTCCAGGTACAAGACACTTTTCTCCTGCTTCAAAAGGAGTTTAGGAGACTGGGGAGATGGCTCAGTGGGTGAGAGCTCTTGGCGAACATGCGTTCAGACCTGATTCTGAATCCTCAGCAATCACAATTCACAGAACAACAACAAAACTGGTCATGCCCTCTTGAGTGTCTGGAACTCTACTTCTGCAGTGGGAGAGAGAGAGGAAGGAGGGTCCCTAGAACTTGCTAGTGGGGCTAGCACCAGGTTCAGTAAGAGACTCTGTCTGCAAGGTAAAAAGAGAGAGCATGGAACATCGAGCATCCTTCTCCAGCCTCTGTGGTGTACACACTCACACACTCGTGTGCTTATCTCAGAGACACTGTCTTTCCAGCGCTCACCTCTGGCCTTCTTGTTAGCAGTTAATACAGTCTCTACAGAATACTTAGGTTCGTTATGATGATAAAATTAATTGTACACATAGAAGTTATCTCTGAATATAGCAATTGTTTTCTTATTAATATGGGTTACCCTTTCAAACAAGTTCAACATGCTTCTGACACTTCGATGCATTGCTCGGAGCTTATTGTATGGTGAAGCAGGATGAGTGTAGTGAAAGAACTTTTAGAGGTTATTTTGTTGTATGCATGGAAAAATCTCATTATAGAAATGAGGCAAGTGGATTCCTATTCGTAGTCTAGGCTGAGGACTGCACAAAGATGGTAGGGTATACATCATATTTGTATGTAAACTCTGTTAAAGACAAATACATCTATCCATGGAAATTGCTTTTATCATAGTTCTAATAAGCAGTACTTGGACAAGTGAATTATTATAAAACAGGATGGCTGTGCTTTACTGTAGTGTTTATCTTAAAATTGAGATTTTTTTTTCCTTCTTAAGTGTCACTTTATGAGATTTTAGAAGGAAAAGGCAAAAGTATGGATTATTTGTAAATGAGATCAGTATAACTAGACTATTTGCAAGCTGGGCTGAAAATTATGTATAAAATCATTTCACTATTAATAAAATACAAAAATAGGAAACCATAAAACCATGCAAGGAACATGTCACTATGTAGGACTTCGTCATTTCATTTTGGACGGGGGGGTTCTCAGGGACGTGTTGACACATCCCTGAAATGAAACGGAAGTGGAATGGTTTTGGTTTGGACTTACATTGTGCCGGTGGGATTTGACAGCACCCCATACTGTTATCTCATAGACTTTTTTCCTTCTTGTAGAAAGATGAACAAGCCATGCTAGAGGATACGCTGGTTGCTCTGTTTGACTTGGAGAAAGTCTCCTTCTTTTTCAGACCGTCAGAAGAGGAGCCGCTGGTAGCAAGTGAGTAGCGACTGCACGTAGAATGTCGCTGGTAGCAGATGTTAACACTTTTTCATTGGCGTGGAGTCATGTAAACGGAACGATTGAAAAAGGTCTCTTTGAGTTGGCTCTTTCCCAGCATTAATGCTGGCAAAGGCTGCAGTTTAGGAGTCATACCTGAGTTAACAGGACTTGTTAAGCAGTGGGCCCATAGATTAACTTTTACGTCTTTAAGATTTTGCAAATTGCCACCACTCTTCTACTATTTCAACCTTGTCATGAATGTTTAAGAAGAAGATGTCTACCAGTCCAAAAAAAAAAATCTCCAGTTTATTTTTTAAAGACAGTTTTATGTGCCTTCTGTCTTTCACAAGTATGTGGATCCTATGTATTATAATAGAAGTTAGAAATGTCTTCAGAGAAGGGAGTCATTCTTATTTACTTTCTCAGTGGGCTACTCTGATACATAGAAACACAGTAAGTGCCCACTTCAAGTCCACGATTTGAGAAAATATGATAATAATGATAATCATTCTTTATTTGTTTCATCAAAACTTCATTTGAATACTTCTTGCCAGCACTCTTCTGGGTATAAGGTTCAAAGGAATACTGAACAGATGGTGTCTTCTGTGGGATTAAAAATTGAAGTGAGGAAAGAAAATGACAAGTCAGAAAAACGAATTAATTAGACATCGAGTTAAAAGTAACAGTAAAATAGTTTAGAATGTAAAGCTGAAGGAATAGAGTAAAAGTTGCTGCTGATTGGATGGGGAGTTGATCTGGTCTGGGAGAACAGGGTTCTGAGGGGCTTGTGGATAGTCACGTGGACATTATAAGGAGTCTGTCAGACTTCAGCTCTGAGGTAGGAGAATGTGGGGCATGTTCTCAGAGCAACATGCTGGCCTTCTTGGTTATGGTAGAGCAAAGGAAGAGAACAGAGTATGAAATCAAATAGAAGGTGGGACCATGTAGGGCTTCCTGCCCCTGAGATTCTCCATGTTCTTGGTTGCCAGGTGAAAAAGACCTGGTTTACATATCCAAAATGATGCCTCTAAGTTTAATGTTACAAAGACCCATAGACTACTTAGAAAGCATTTGAATGGCCCAACTGAGAGATCACAATGACTTGGACTTGAGGGACATCTGTGGGGATGATGAAATTAAAAATAACAATACTATTTCTATTAATTAAGTTAGCAAGGGTAGCATTCTCTCCAATTTTCATTTCCACTATGAACAAGAAAGAACAAGAATCTGAAGGAGGAAGTTAGTTATACCCAAGAGAGATTTGCTGTATGGCAAAAGGTAGTGAATGATTATTGAAATAAAATTTTAAATAAATTGTGAGGTTTCTGCTGGTGTGTATAGAAAGGTATATATTTTTACTTGAATGTAGTAGGCAGCTTCCTTGAAGGCTAAGAAAATGATTCTGTGATGTCACCTATTGTTCATTCTTTAAAATACTACTTGAGGACCTCTAAGCTCCCATCAACATTCATTATCCTCTGTGGTTTCAAAGTGACTTTTTTTTTTTTTGCCAAATGAGCAAGCAGCCCTGTGAGTGAGTTCCTTAGCCACAGTAAGACACATTGATATGTTGGGCACATACTAAACATTAAAGCTAATTGTGATTACGTAAGTAAAGTTAGGGTTTACATACTGCTGTGCCTATGACAAAGCACTCATGATGGTGGCATTTAGCTACATACTTAATGCATCTCATTGGAGAATAACCCAAACTTCTGAGGGTAATTATTTAGTAAATTGCCAGTTTCAGTGCCTTCTGACTCTACCATTAAATATCAAAATAAAGAGCAGCCCTTGTGGGTTTGGGAAAGGAGCTGACACATAGCCATTCAGGAATGAAGTTTATTAGGAAAAAGAGCATGGAGGTCAGGAGCGAACCTTGAGTAGGAGAGCATTAATTAGAAGGGTAAAATATCATTAAGACAGCATAACCTGGCCCTTAAAACTGAGAGGAGCTAGGGAAAAGGAATCCAAAGGCAGGCAACCAAGTCAGAGACAGTCCATACTCCAATTGTTTAGGGAACCCATATCATGAGCAAGCTGAACATCCGCTACTATGCGTAGGGGACCTACCTCATGCCCATGCATGCTCTTTGGTTGGTGGGTCTGTCTGTGTGAGGGCTGCCTTGTCTGTGGAAGACCTCTCAGTGGAAGAGGAAGCACTTAATCCTACTGAGACATGATTTGGACTTGATTTGCCACAGTGGATTGGTACCGTGGGTGGTCTCCCCTTCTCTGGGAAATAAGGAGAGGGAGATGTGAGAGTGGGACTGGGAGAGAGGAGGGAGGAGGGCTGCGAGCAGGGTGTAAGGTGAATAAATACATTAATGGAAGAAGCATAATTTAATGAGAAGAGCTTCGCATAAAGATAGTTTAGTCAAGTGTGCCTTTAGCTCCAGCGCTCTAGAGGGAGCACATGGGGAGGTAGATTGCTGTGAGTTTTTTCAGGCCTCATTCACGCAGTAAGTGTGAGGCCAGCCAGTCACAGTGAGAAGAAAGATAGAGCCACCATAGGAGAGATAGCTTGGGGAGGACAGAGGAGCCTTCAGAGAAGCCCAAGTTTTGGAGGCTGGAAGGAAGTTTTAAACTATGCAGTCAGGGATAGCATAGTTGACAAAGAGTGTGGAGGAGCCATCAATCAGGATCAGGAAAACCGTAAGCATAACCGCTTCATAGTTATGTCTCAGGGAGAGAACTGAATGCTCATCCATCCTTATTTCTTCAGGCTGTGGGACCTGCTTTTTTTTTGAAGGGGTAGGCCACAATCTAACATCCACTTTGCAAGCAAATTCAAAATGACGATAGGAGAGGGTTCTCAGTGTGAAAGCTGAGTCAACACCCAAGATTAGGCATGTCTTCCTTAAGTGGTATAAGAAAGTTAGAGCTTGTTAAAGTGTATGGCAGGAGGTTTCATCTTTCCACCTGTGTAGACGAAGATGAGTCAGGGTGGCTAATAAAGTCTGCATCGCTGGTTTCGACATGGGTTGACTGAATGCCTCAGGAGAGAGGACAAAGTACAGAGAAGTATCAACTGGAGAGAAATTCACTTTGACCTAGAACTAGAGTTCAAATCCTGGGTTCATTCTCATCATCGAGATGCCAACTAAAACACTAGCTTCCCCCCTCTCAGAGTTGGGAGGTTCATATGAAATAATGTGTTTGAAATCCTCAAGCATTATGTGCAGCTCCTGGTTGCAATAAATACTTGAATCCATCTCCTTACACTTACTTTTGGGCAGGTGATGGCATCAAGTTTCCTTTATAATGATGATCTGGATAATTACAGTAGTTATTAAAAGAATGAGTACTTGGAAGCTCCCTCTGTCTCTGTATGGACCAAGAATTATGTCTGGAGCTACAGATATTATAATGGGTGAAATAGGTGTGGTCTCATGTACTGATGTGATGTTGATGGCCATGGTAAGACACAATGCTAAGTTCAGCACAGAGGTAGGAAGGGATAAACCCTATGAAGAAATAAAAAGTGCATAAACAAAGAGGGCCGACAGGAGAAGGCTTCCTTTAGAAGCAGCTCTTGAACAGATCTGAAGGAAGACAAGGGGTTGGAAAAGGTTGAAGAGGTAATCCAAACAGGCTAACCTATCAACTTGTAAATCAAAACTTAGTGACAGATTCACTTATCCCCCTCATTGTTCTGGTGTCCTACCTGTGGGAATGATAACTGTCACAGCTGTTTTCTAGGGTGAGTCTCCATAGGGTGTTCCCAGACCTTCCCTTATGGTGATGATAGCAAGCTGCCAGTCACTTACACTCCTCTCAAAGTAAATGTGTTTTCCGCAGACGGTGACCTTCCACAAGTAAAAGGCCATGGATTTCAGTTCCTTATTGCTGTGCATGTTTAAAAACAGCTTTATAGTTTCCATGTTTTGTGTTTTCAGAACTCTTGTGTGTATTTCATGTGACAGTACTTTATAAGGTGGATCTTTCACAGACACTCTCCTAGCTGGATGCTTATCTTCATGTTCATAGAGCTCGATTTTTGAATTTTAATAAAATCTAGATGATCAGATTTTCTTTTATCAGCTGTGCCTTTGATGTTAGTTCTAAGATGACACCATCCGTGATCACCCGGCTTTCTCCTGTGCTAGGTTCTAGGATCGCCACAGCTTCATACCTTCCATGTAGGTTTACTTTTGAGTTAATGTTGTGAATGGATGGAGGCACTGTTTGAAGCTTCTTTTTTATGTACATGCCCAGTTGTTCCAAAAACAGCGGACACAAGCTTAGTATGTTGTCTTTGTTGTTTTGTCAAGGGTCAATTGATAGTTCATGTGGGATTAGTTCACATGTTTCTAGACTGGAGTTCCATTTGGCTGCTTGTCTGTTCTTTGCCCATCAGCACATTGTCTTAGATACTGTAACTGTAGAGTGATACCCAGAGGATACCCTATCCTCCACCTTTCTTGTTCTCTTTATCACTATGTTAATTGTTCTCAGTCCTTTTCCTCATCTTGCTAGTTTGGAATCATTTTTTTGATATTCTTGAATACCTTTGAATTTTAAGAGAGTACATGAAAATTGTATATCAGACCAGGAATAAATACGATCTTAACAATATTGGCTTTTCTTAGTCATGAACACAGGCTAGTTTCCTATTTAGTTGTTTCCTATTTGTTTGTTTTGGTGTATGTGTCAAAAGTTTTATTTTCTCACATAAATCTTGTACAAATGTTAGTATATTTATACCTTTCATTTTAGAGGTGCTGGTACAAATAGCATATTTAACTTGTTTGTTGCTGACATACGGGGAAATAGTTGGGCTTTTACATTAACATTGTCTCTTAAACCCTTGATACATACATATATTAGTATCAAGAGAATCTTGTAATCTCAGATTTTCTTCCATTGTTGGGCATCTTATCTGCAACCAGAAGTTTTCTCCTTTCTTGATGTGTCTGTCTTTCCTGTCCTTTTCTTCTATGATTGGCTTAGTGGGAACAGCTAGTACAGCATTGAAAAGGAAAGTTTAGTAGTAAGAAGCATAATCTTTTTTGCTCCTGATTTTCGTGGGAAATCATAGTTTCTCATAACCAAGTATGATATCAGCTACAGTTTCATTTGTATTTTACCATGCTGAGAAAGTCCTTTTTCACACCTATTGACTAAAAATAATTTTTCATAAGTACATGTTACATTTTGTCAAA